TTGCATGGTGATGGATGCATGGTGTTGTTTGCATGGCGATGGATAGTTTGCACGGCAGGGGTGGGGTAGGGGGGCGGGGGGGGCGGGGGAATGATGATGTCTTCATGTTGATGGGTGCATGGTGTTGTTTGCATGTTGATGGATGCATGGTGATGTTTGCATGGTGTTTTTGCATGGTGATGGATGCATGGTGTTGTTTGCATGGTGATGGAGCAGCCTTCTTCCATTTATTGTAGGCCCCGCGCACCAACCCGAGAAGTGTACCAAGTTCGATTTTTCTACTCGAACCACTTCTTCTTCAATAGCGATGTCAAATCAACTTCTTCAGATTGGAATCTGAAGGATATTCCTGTCCTTGCGAGTTTAACCAACCACATCGAATGCGGTTTCTCTTGGCTTTCCTGCGAAATGCTTACGCAGGATGCCCGCAGCAATAGAAGTATTCCAAACCTTCACAAAGTACTTTGCGATTTCAACTTTCTGTCACCCTCAGCTGAATTATGCACGACTTCCTCGGTCCTGTCAGTACTTTCGGCAGTTAATGTCGCTACTCGCGCCGTCTCTTCTTCAACAGCGATTTCTGATCAACTTCTTCAGATTGGAATCTGAAGGATATTCCTGTCCTTGCGAGTTTAACCAAGCAGATCGAATGCGGTTCCTCTTGGCTTTCCCGCGAAATGCTTACGTAGGATGCCAGCAGCAATAGAAGTATTCCAAACCTTCACAAAGTACTTTGCGATTTCAACTTTCTGTCACCCTCAGCTGAATTATGCACGACTTCCTCGGTCCTGTCAGTACTTTCGGCAGTTAATGTCGCTACTCGCGCCGTTTCTTCTTCAACAGCGATTTCGGATCAAATTCTTCAGATTGGAATCTCAAGGATGTGCCTCTCCTTTCGAGTTTATCCAACCAGATCGAATACGGTTCCTCTTCGCTTTCCTATGTGTAATGCTTGCGTAAGACGCCTGCGGCACAAAAAATATCGCAAACCTTCAAAAACTACTTTGTGATTTCTGAGGCCCTCAGCTGCATGATGGACGAATTCCTCGGCCCTGTCCGCACTTTCGGCACTTGATGTGGCGAAACGATGCTAAACGCACCATTGTTGGCGCACAAAACGCCGTAGAGGTGCTCCAATCTGAAGATTGCGTTCACTCTGCAAAGCATGAAAACACCAGTCCTCCTACGGGCGTGCGACCTGGTACTCGTAGTAGTAGTAGTAGTAGTAGTAGTAGTAGTAGTAGTAGTAGTAGTAGTCGTAGTAGTAGTAGTGTGCGGGGGATTTAGAACAATTATTTGAGCAAGTTTGCAAAGCAATCTTGCAATCTTACCCCACTTGGGGAGGGGCCAGTGTCCGCAAGCTTGGTCAATCTTGGTCTAAAAGGTAAACTAGTCGACAAGCAAGTGGGGCAAGATGACCAAGATTGCTGGCAATCTGGCTTTTGAACAAGATCACCAAGATTGCCAAGCCGGCTCTGCAGAATAATTGTTCTTAATTCCCGGCACAATTTACCAGTACTAGTAGCCGTACTAGTATTAGTGGTACGAGCAGCAGCAGCAGCAGGAGTAGTAGTAGTAGTATTAGTAGCAGCAGTAGCAGTGGCAGCGGAAAAGAAACAAAACGAACGATAAGCTAGTTGTGGACCGGTGGCAGTCCTGGGACAGGGAACGGTTTCTTGAGTTGCTGCGGTGTCTTCGACAAGCAGCACCTCGGATGCAGACTGCTCAGCGGCATAGTGCTCACGGTTCAAGGATTGTGGGTCAAGGACAATTAAATCAGCGAACATTTGTGTGGAAGCTCAACCGTCCAGAAATGAGTAAGACGAGTTCCTCCGGGGTTCTTGGCTCAATATTCGATATTACTCGATAAATCAGATAACTTCATGTCATAAGCGCGTGAGGCATCTTGAAGCTAAAAGCAAGACGACAAACTGACCAGCTGTTGAGATCACACTATACTTGGAACTAAGCTTTCAAGCTGCAGGTCGCGAACCGGCAGATCTAAAGAAATCATCCATAACAGTGCAACGGCCAAGAACACCAAAACGCTGATTGCAGGCTAGATTCCCAAAAGGATGGATCGACGCTTGGCTGAGCACGCCTCCTCCAAGAAGACTTTGGTGGCCTGTGGTCACACACAAGGAACAGCCGATCGTGGTTAGTAGACTGCAGCAGCAGCACGAAGCAACGCTAAGTCATTAGGCGTAGTGGTACTAGTAGTAGGAAAGTAGTTGTACCAAAGGCAATTGCAGTAGTGGTACCAGTCTTTGTCGTAGCAGCCGCAGACGTACTAGCAGACTAGCAACAGCAGCAACAGCAACAAAAGCAACAACACCAGCACCAGCACCAGCAGCAACAGCAACACGACCACCACAACCACCACTACCGAGAACATCGCCACCATCGCCACCACCACCATTGCCAACACCAACGCCGGCACCAGCAACCACAACAACAACGACCACATCCACAACCACAACCACATCCACAATGACCACCAATCAAACCCTAACACCAACCAACCAACCGACCGACCAACCCACAAACAAACCAAACCAAACCAAACCCACCAACCAACCAAGCAACCAACACTGACACAACACCCCAACTGCGACGGCCTCGGCCCACAGCGAACGACCACTCGAATTACAGGGCGTCGACATGCTGGCACTTGCCCGCTTCAGCGATGCAGGGGCGAAGCCTGCATGGGTTGTTGGGGTCGGAATAGCTGCAAGTACATCTCAGTGCTCCGTACTATAAGTCTACCACAATAGTCCGCCAAAAACCCGCTTCCAATTAGTAAGGCACCTATATCAGGGTGCCGAGTGCTGTGTTTGGAGGCGAGGCCTTAGACCCAGAGCGGTCTGGGTTGTAGAGTATTAAACATTTTCGTTGAGGCTGGATTGGTATAGGGGTTTAGGGTTAGGGTTTTGGAGTTAAGAAGATTCAAGCTTTCGGGCTCAGGGGTTAGGGTTTCGTGTATAGGGTTTAGGGCTTTGGAGTTTAGGGTTCAGGAAGGTCGACTTCCACGACCTCTGTGGTTTGGCTCAGAGTTTGGAGCTATACTGACACGCCCGAGAATACTCCCCAAACTACCCTATTGCTCAATCTGGAGCTGAACCAACTACTGCCTCGATAGCACGGTCGAGGGTTTAGGGTTTCTGTCTGAGAAATCAAGTAGCAACATGATGCATCCCAAGCCCTCAAAGATCCCAGCGAAAATCCACAAACAAGAAAAATACGCCCTGCGTAGACCCTACCAGCCCGAAAACCCTGATATAGACAGCTGGTAATCGATGCGCTTCAGGTTCCTTACCAACTCCTCAAAGAAGCTCGGAAGAGCCTCGCTAAATCCAATATCAAAGCCCTTCAGTAACCCTAAACCCCAAAATCCTACACCTTAAGAATCCTAAAGCTTAAACCCTAAACCCGAAATAAGGCAAGCCGCAATTAGCTTCAGCTCCCCGCTGCGTGAGGGACCACGAGCTCCGCTTGCGCCGGCAGCAAATGCCCTGGTCGTCTTGGGTTTAGGGTTTAGGGTTTAGGGTTTAGGGTTTAGGGTTTAGGGTTCAGGATTCAGGGTTTAGGGGTTAGGGTTTTGGATCTAGGGTTCTACAATTTAGGACATGAAGTCTGGGTTCCCATAAGGTTACTACAAGGGTCTACACAGCTTACTACGGTCTGCGAGCCCAGCCCTGAGCCTCCTTTTTGTAGAGTACTCGACTGCGTCTTTCAGACACAAGCCACACCGCCCAAAAAACCCTAAACCCTATACCCCAAAACCTAAAACCCTAACCACCATAAACCCTGAACCTGGAAAGCGTCCGGGCTCGGGGGTTTAGGGTTTACGGGTTAGGGGTGCAAGGGTTTAAGCGTTTAGGGGCTTAGGGGAACAGGGTTTAGGATTTAGGGTTTTGAAGGCTCGGGCCAGGGCTAGGCGATTACGCCCCACGGAGATAAGGCTTTGCTGTCTGGGGCTGGCGGTACTTCGAAGCCTTACCTATAGTCTCCATTGTAGTTGTGTTTTTGGGTTACCTTGTAGGATCCTATCTGTAAATTCGGTTAAAACAGAACAAGGCCCCACAACGGAACCTATAAGTATACGGAAGCTCGAACCATGTCAACATATCTTATCTAGCACTTGTGTGTGCAAGTGGCTATGGCGACAGCTCTCCTGAACCCTAAACCCTATCCAGGATTCAGGGGCCCGGCGCCCTTACCCCCCCCCCAACAGCTCATAATGGTTTGAGTCCCAAGACATGCAAAGCGGTGTCGGAAAATAGTGGCGCCTTATTTAGGCTGCGTATTATGTGTATCTTACTGAATACGCATTTGGGGGGTCCATTATCTGAAACTTCCAACAACGGTTCTGGTCTGGCGTGTTGCAGATGGCCTGCAGCATCTTGGCAGGAATTTGTGGTCAGGTGCAGCCTTCAGTTGTAGGATTTCCGCTAAAACCCTTAAACCCCCAAACTTCCAGGCAGCCCCAAACCCCCGTTTCCCAGACTCTTCGTCCCTTCAACTCCGAAAACGAGTGAGACTCCTTCCTCAAGCCTCAAGCCCCAATCCCCCTAACCCTAAACCTTGAACCCTGAACCCTGAAACCCAGGGGTCTTCAGACCCTAAGATGGCATCCTTTAAGGCTGTGATGGAAGCAACAGAACTTTCACAACTGGCCTCCAGAAGACGCAACCACCTTCAAAGCTTTGCAGCTGTAGGGTTTAGGTTCAAGTTCTTTTTTGGGGGGTTGCGTGTAGGGCTTAGGGTTTAGGCGTTTGGGAATGATTTGTGTACACAATCCACATAAGCCCTGATCCTTCTCAATTGGATATTTGGGCACCTAGTAAGCCCTACTCTAAGGTAAGTTTAGGGCTTTGGGGTTGAGAGATTACCTGTGTTAACATGCGACTGACTTTTCTTTCTGGAACCCACTCCCGGTGGCCGTGACAGAAACCCTGAACCCCCTAAATAACAAAGACGGTCCGGGGTCCCTACAGCCTTGGTTTTTGCCTTGACGTTTGGTCGTTTCCAGCAGTAAAACCAGAGCTGGCGCCTCGTCTGTCCTATGGAAAAGAACTGGTCTTTGTTTGTTGCGGACATAATTTTTGCAGGGCTTGTTCTCTGGTAGACGAGAATCTTGTTCAGAAGCTTTCCCCCGTTGTCTCTTAGAACAGTTGTGGTCGGCCTGAGCCCAATTCAGGGCCGGCCGATGAGGATTCAGCCATCTGGTGATTCTTACGCGAATCAGGATCATTGCTATGCGGGCGTTCTGGTACCATTCCACCTCCTCAGGCCCGTATAGTTCGCGAAGCTTGAATCCGAGATGCAAAAGATCCAAACGCCACATGACCCGAAAACGCGTCCACTTTTAACGGTCCAAAACCCAAAACCTTTTAGGCCCCGACACAAAGCTCCACATGCGGCCTGCCTGGAAAGCGCTAGATAGTTCACACTTAAAACTTAAAGCTTTCTCTACACATGACCACCCTATCCTCCTCGCCCAGATTGGGGAGCTTTATTCCCATCCATGTTTTATCCTGACTCCTCTCATCTTCTCACAACAGTAGCTAACGACCCAGAGGCTCCAAAGACCAAGCCTCTGCCCCTAAACCCTAAACCGAAAACCCTGAACCCCTAAACCCTAAGCCCTGAAACTCCGAACCCCAAACCGCAAAACACTCGGAGCTCTTAGAACTTCAGACCTTAGGCCCCATGTGGGAGTTTCCGAAATTAGGGGTACCTTATTTTGGGGTCCTTATAATAAGGATCCTATTATTTGGGGTGCTATACTAGGGTCCCCTATTTTCGGAAACCCCCATGTCGGAAACCCGCAGAGCCTGCACCCTAAGCCTGGAGACCCCGCATCCCAAGTGCCTAACCCGAAGGCCTACATCCCTAGCCCCTTAACCCCTAAACCCCGAAACCCCAAAGGCCCAAAACCCTGAACCCTAACCCCCAAAATCGCGAAAAAATCTCGAAACCCCTAAACCCGAAACCCGACAGGAAGGAAACTGAAACCCAAACTGTCATCGGCCTCGGAGTGCCGACTTTTTTCTCGGGGGCCTTCGAGGCCTCGACCTGCTGTACCTGCAGAGCTTCAGGCTTTTAGGGTGTAGTGTGTAGGGTATAGGGTTCAGGGTTTAGGGTTTAGGGTTTTTTTTGAGCAGCTTTTGCCGACCGCAGAGGGTTTAGGGTTTAAGGTTTAGGGTTTAGGGCTTATGGTGTATGGTTTTGGGTGCAGGGTTTAGGGTTTAAGGTTCAGGGTTTAGGGTTTAGGGCTCAGGGTTTAGGCTTTAGGGTGTACGGTCTAGGCTTCAGGGTTCGGGTTCAGGGTTTTGAGACCCAAACGTCCAACTCCCAGCTAAAATGATCGGGGTCTTCATGAGGCCATGATGATGGCCATGATCATGGCTTTCGGGCTTCTTGCTGTATCATGTGTGGCTTTGGCTTGATGCCGATACCACGTTTGTCCTAACATGCGTTGCGATGGTGATGGTGGCTCTTTCATCAGCTTCAGCAGCGTTGCTTCTTGTCTCTATTCTGCTTATTGCTGCCATGTGCTACAGCCCGGCGTTCGTGACCCTTGGCCCTGGAAGTCCTGCGCCGACCGCTTGTCGGCCCCTCTAAGTGCATGAAACCCCCGGACAACCCAGACTCGAATTTCCAGAAGGATGGAGGGTTTATAGGGTTCAGGGTTTACGGTTGAGAGCAAGCCTTGGGTCCAACAAAAAGTCTGAAACCCCTAAACCCAAATCTCCAAAACCCATGAACCGCTGAGTCCTCCCCAAGCCCTGGGTTCAATTTTAGGGTTTAGGAATGCTCTAAACCTTAAACCCTGAACCCTAAACCCTAAACCCTCGTTTGAGGCTTTGGTCTCGGCCTGCAGAAATGTAGGATTTAGTGTTATCCGGGTTTTAAGGACTTTAGAGTTTGTTTGGGGCCTTTAGTTGACTAGGGTTGAGCTTGGAGTTTGGGGTCGTAGGGACTGTAGAGTTTAGGTTTCTAACCGAAGCTCCTGCAGCTCTACCATCCCGTCATAGACTCAGTTGAGGAACCATGTTTCCGAGCACGGGCTTTGCGCAGGCAGGCTTGGGGTTTGGTTCGGTCTAGGGTTTAGGGTTTAGGGCTTAGAGGTTGCAGGGTCAGTGTGTAGAGCTCCGATTGAAGTTTATCCTCAGGACGGGACATAGGACAGTACAGTGGCAAAACGCGGCGTGGTTCGCCTTCGCTCACTCGATTCGTGTGACTCCTTGCAGACATTCGTAGTTAGAGCTGATGCATTTCCGTCTCTTGCGTTTCTATCACCCGTGTCGCTGCCCGTCTGCTTCAGAACGACTTGGGGTTTGCAGCGTTGGGCAAAATGAGCTGACGAGGATGGCGAGCGCTTTAAAACTGCATCCCCTAAAGCTTTAGGGAAAAGACCATTCTCAGGCAACTCTCAGCAGTGGGGCGGAAGATCGCAGCTCTTCAGCCCACAACCACAACAGTCCCAACACTTAGAACTGACAACCAAAAGCAGCCAGCTAGCTTTATATGTGCATATATACACCTATTTATCTATCTATCTACCTATCTACCTATCTACCTATCTACCTATCTACCTATCTACCTATCGAATCTATCTATCGATCTGTCTGTTTATCTATCTATCTACTGTGAGCACTCGTCGTTTGAAGCTTCTGCTAACCTAAGCTTGCTGAAACACCTATATATATATATACATAATATATCACCCCTAAACCCTAAACCCTAAACCCTATATACATATATATATATACATATAATATATCACAGCAGCATATTGTAAGCACACCAGCCGCGCGGTCTCATGAGAGGTGCCTTGGCGGCATGGCTCAGTGGATCGATCATGCCCGAGGCCATGGACACGAGGGGATCTCCGTCAGCGACCTGAGAACAAGGTCGATGCCAGGACACACACATGCAGAAACACAAGACGATGATGTTGGTGATGGCGACGACAAGTTGAAAACACTCCCACCATCATCATGACCGTCACCATCATCAGCATAATCATCAAGACTATCATTAGAAGCAGCATAATCATCAACATCATCATGACGGTCGTTATCATCATCGCTCCCTTTCACCATCACTGCCGTCATCATTGTCATCGCCATGATCATCATAATCTGTCATCGTCATCGGCATCGTCATCGGCATCGTCATCGTGGTGGTGTTGTTGGTGCTGGTGATGGTGTCGATTGTCGCTGCAACCACGACCGCACGAAGAATAATCTCAACACGGAGCCGTGCAACAGCACAGGCTCTATTTATCTTCCTCAAGACCGAAAACGGAAGTGCAAATAGCAAGCGCAGCTGCTGTAACGCATGTTCGACAGTGGAATCTGCGAAGCGCCATCACGTAGGGCCCAACAGGATCCGATAACGCCTCGGCGTAGAGCTGAGGGTCGGAAGCTTTTTGGGTTTAGGGTTTTGGGCTTCGGGTGTACGAGGTTTGGGTTATGGGGTTTAGAGATTTGTGTTTAGGGTTGCTTCTGGACTAACTGGGGGTCTGCAGCCGTGCATGTATGGCGATCCGTCTGTACATATCCGTACACAGGCAAGTCATTGTCTGCTTGCTTGGGCATGACTGCAAATAGAAATACATCACGTATGTATGTGTACATATGAATATATGTATATGTACGAGCTAGAACGATCGGACGTTTGCATGCAGCCATAGCTGGCGGGTGCCGGGTGCCATATGTGAGGCATTTTCAAGGTTTACGGTTTCTTGTCCGAGTTGCATATCCATCAGTCTGTGTATATATAATATATGTGTGTATATGTAGGTATATATGCATGTATATATATATATATACATATACATATACATATACACATACATGCATAATACATACATACATACATACATACATACATATATATATATACATATACATATACATATACACACATACATGCATAATACATACATACATACATACATACATACATACATACATACATACATACATACATACATACATACATACATACATACAAAAGGTGAAATCGTTTTTCTTGCACGAAGGGGGCCCGGGCCACTGTCCGGGTCCCGGGTGGTTCTCGGGTCTAGGGTCTAGAGGGTTGGGTTTCGGGTCCGAGTTCCGGATCCGGGTTTCGGGGTCCGGGTCCCCGGTTCCGGGCCCGCTGGGCTGTTGGTGTTGTTGTTGGGTTTAGATCCCGGGTTCCGAGTTCCGGGCCCGGATTCCGGGTTGCTGGTTGTTGTTGTTGCTGACGTCCCGGTTCCGGGGTTCGGGTTCCGGGTTCCGGGCTGCGTGGTTGTTGTTGACGTTGGGTTCCGGGTCCCCGGTTCCGGTTCCGGGCTTCGGGTTCTGGGTGTTGCGGAACCCGGGTTTCAGGCCTGGGTCCGGGTTCCGGGGTTGGGAGGAGGGGGGTTCCGGGTGACTCGAGACGAGAAAAGCGACACTATGTATAAAAAGGATATGTCACATTACATGTTACGCTTATGTTTATATACAGATGCGGATACATGCGTGTTTGCTTATGTGTTTGTATCCACATTCATGGAAACACGCATTCATACAAACTTACATACATACATCCATACATAAATACATATGACCATACATGTACACATGTTGCGTATGCATGCATACACACATGAATGCAGGCATACACTTCTTTACTTACAAATTTACTTACTTACTTGCTTACTTACTTACTTACTTAATGAATTCATTAATTAACTAATTACTTAATTAATTAATTAATTAATTAAGTAAGTAAGTAATTAATTAATTACTATATTTCTTTCTTTCTTGCGTACCTGTTTACTTGCTTAGTTGCTTACTTACCGGAATTAAAACACAGGCATACCGATATACACGCTTCTGACACACAACAGCCACACATATACTAGCTGCACATTTACGACGTGATACTTCCGGACGGCGTGCGTGATGCGCATGAAAGATGACATTGACTATGTCGCGCACTTCGACACTTCGACGCACAGACACATGTGCAGGACCCCAGTGTCGGAAGCTGGGTGTAAGACAGCCTTTCAATCAATCTCCGTGCGAACCTTCTTTCCTTCCTTCCCTTCTTCTTCTCTGCCCTGTCTATGTGGCTTCGCCCTCCAGCGATATCTGGGTCCGGGCGGACACCACACGTACAGATTGCGGAGGAAATCGTCTCTAGCGGTTCCCCCTCCCCTGTCTTCCTGCATGTTCTCGACTGGAAATCGCCCATGGGCTTGGAGTTTCGCTCATGGAACAACTTGTTCTCGGGTATCGGCCAACATACATACACACACACACACGCGCAGTGGCCCGAAAATTTGTCCTCTCTTGTGTCGCTCTCTCTCTCTCTCTCTCGCGCTGTGCCGCTGCCTCTCTCTCTCTCCCTCTCTCGCTCACTCCCTAGCTCTCTCCCAGTGTTTGTCTATCCATATATATATATATATGTATACATATATATATACACACACACATATCCTTACAGACACAAAGTCTCTATACCACTACACATACTCCACAAAACCATACACACACAAGCATACTTGAGAGATGCGACACATCCGTCGTACAGAACGGGGCAGTCCAAAAGCTTACTGAAGAGTCTTCATTACATTAGATACGATACGGTCCAGCACGCTCGCTCTCTAAAGGTGCTGCACCTTCCAAGCAACCACATCTGCTAGCAAGAGGGGGTACAGGACTAAAACTTAGTGCCCTGAATTAGAATAGGCCTATGGACGAAAAGGGAACAAGTTTGCCAATGCTTCCGAAATCTATGCTAAACTGTAAGTAAATCCTCAGCCGCAAAGACAAAGCCTTACTGGACCGAACGGCAAGCAAGGCCCAAGCATTAAGCCTTGAGCTTCAAGACGAAGCCGAGAAGGTCCAAAGCCAAAAAACCCTGAATCCTAAACCCTAGACCCCAATCCAGTCGCGAGCCTGAAGATACGCCTGACCTGGCTGCTTCCGTCAGGCTTTCCGGGTACAGGGCTGGGTGAGGGGTTTAGGGGTAGTGTTTGGGGTATACCTCGGAGTGCTCGTGTGTGCCCGAAGGGGCTGGGGCCACATTTTGCAGCAAACCACCGCCTTTCCGATGATGTGCCTGCTCTGAGATTCAACTCTGCTTGAACACCAACTTTCTAGGATTGATTGAATACTAGAAGCCGTTCAAACCCTCATCAACAATGCATGAAGTGCTCGTGCGTGCCGATAAAACGTGCACAGCACCTTTACCTGCTCTAGACCATTCGGCATGAATGCCCAGGCTGCTCGGGGCCACTTGTGTGCAGGCTCTATGCCCTCCGTGACACTCCGGGCTCCCCCGGAAATATCGGGAACTCCAGTTGAAGAACGACACTATTTGAGTGGGCCGGGTAGTCATGTCGCGGAACCCCCCCGTTCTTTGTGTGTGTGCGCCTGCTCTAGAACCTCTGGCAATCCCTTAACGGCCCCTTGTGTGCCCAAAGGGGTGGGAGCCACATTCTGCAGCAAAACAGTGCTTCTTGTGTTGCTGCTTTAAACCATCCGGCATCCCTGCCCAAGCCATGTTCGGATGCCTCCGGGCCGCTTAAACCCTTATCAAAAATGGACCCTGGAGTGCTCCTGTGAATGGGGGGCCTATTTTCTGCAGCAAAGCAACGCCTTGCTTCTTGTGCACGGGCCCTAAATCATGCAGGATCCCTCGATGCGTTAGAACGAGACTTTCGGGGAGGCCGCAACCTTCGGTAAATTTATTTTCTTTTCACTAATTTAGTGCGGGCGGGTGCCCACCCACGTACAGGAGCATACCACAACCGTACGAGAATTAGACGATAGACTCTCTAGTCTTACCTAGAGGTAAATGGGAACTGTTACAGTATCCAATTACAACCGTCTACAGGTAAGTGCATGTCTGTACACAAGTTTTCATGTATATTTCATTCGACAGCAACTACAGTCAGCACAAGTACAGAGCTATTGAACGCTTCTGGGGGTGGGAAATTTAGAGCTCCACGTACGTGACGGCACTCTTTTGCCCGGCCGCCACATTCCACGAACAATTATGCACTTACCTCGAATGTTTGGTCGACACGCCCTATAATTAACCTCAAAAATCCCAAACCCTAAACCCTAGACGGCCCTAAACCTTAGAAGCCTGAACCCTGAACCCTGCACAATTTAACCCCGCCCTGAACCCTAAGCCAGTACTTCGGATTTCACTTTTGCTACCCGCCTGGGCCGTCTGAGACGCAGAGCTGCGCCAGCTGCGGCGTCAGGCACGAAGTGAGAGGTCCCAGAAGGTTCCTCCGATTTGTTCGTTTTGATGGGGAAAGGGGGAGGACAGGCTTTGGAAAGCAATGCTGATATCAACCCAAGAACATGATAAGACTTATGAGAATAAGCTTTCTCCGGCTGTTGGCCCCTGCTTCTACGGTTGGACTGCCCCAGCTGCTGCCACTGCTTTGAGCTGCCAATGCTGCCACTACTGCTACTGCTCCCCGGTTCAGTGCATGCCTTTATGACACAGCAAGTGCATTTTAGCAAATTTGACCTGGAACGGTGCGTTGATAACTAATTCCGTGGCTCTCATCAGGAGAGGTGTTGTCATGATCATCATCGCAGTCATCATCATCATCATCATCACGATCATCATCACGATCACCATCAACGCCATCATCATCATCATCATCATCATCCTCATCCTCACCATCACCATCATCATCATCGTGCACTGAACCACAGCATCCCATTGCCATCATCGTCACCGTATTACCATGTTCTTTACCATTACTATCATCATCATCATTACCGTCATCATTAGCATGCTGCTGATACTTCTCATCACCATGTTCATCCTTGTCATCCATATCAAAACTTGCTCACGCGTCCACATAAGACTCACTGTATTTGCAACTTGTGCCCAAACAAAGCGAAGCAGTACGAGCCGTACGTAGTAGTAGCAGTTGTGATTGTAGTAGTGCTAGTAGTAGTAGTAGTAGTAGTAGTAGTAGTAGCAGCAGCAACAGAAGTAGTAGTAGTAGTAGTAGTAGTAGTAGTTGTTGTTGTTGTTGTTGCAGCTGTTGTTGCAGTTGTTGTTGTTGTTGTTGTTGTTGTTGTAGTGGCAGTGCCGTCTTCATCGTTGTCCTTTAGCCTTA